TTTTGTATTATGTGAAGTACACATCTGTAAATTTTCAGGGCATTTAGCTATGCCAAAAAAAAAATGAAAAATCGCCAAAGATGGCGGTGTCGAAAACATGCTCGTGCACTCACTAATTTAATTCTCTTTTTAATTTTATTTATTTTTATTATTAGTATTCGTTCTGTGTATTTTATTTTTATTTCAAATGTGGTAATGACATCGGATGTAGTGCTCAGGTAAATCTTGTTGAATTTAACTTTCTCCATAACATATCTTTTTTTCAGTTTTTTTGACGACTTGTTTGTTTTTTTTTTTTTTTTTTTTTTTGGTCGGCGTTCGGCCCGAACGGCCGAACGCATCCCCAAGGGGTCCCATACGTTCGGGCGTTCGGGTTCGGTTGTTCGGCCCGTCCCGAACGTCGGTTACCCTGTATATATATATATATTTTTTTTTTTTTTTCAATGGTGGTATATAATATATATTTTTATCACTTCATCATAACTGTATCGGACTGCAAAGATAGCTTGTATACACTCATGATCAGTGTGTGTTGTGTTTGTAGGGAAAAAAAAGTCCTGGTAGGACCACACATGCACCTCAGAGGAGAGGAGGAGGAGACATCAAAACGCCCAAGGGAAACCAGAACTGAGAGGTCATTGCGATTACGTAGGCCGCTGCAGTCAGGTGTGACACAGCAGAGCAGAGTTCCCCGCAAGAAAAGGGCAGAGAGTGTCGTGGGGAGAGAGAGTAGGGAGGATGCTTTGATCGGCGTATTATTCAAATTTCAACAGATATCCCAAAGGACAGTCCCAAAAGAGTTAGTCCCAAGAACCTACCTCCACGTTTTTTCAATATGGACCACAGGGGCCATGCTAATCTTCTGGGTATTGTTCAAATTTCAACAGATGTCCCGAAGGACAGTTCCAAAAGAGTTAGTTTCAAGAACCTACCTCCACGTTTTTCTGGTGTTTTTTACAGCTGCGTTCTCCACAGGAGCTATGGGGCTCGTTCGACACTCCTCGGGCGCGTAAAGTCCCCCAGGAATTGTTCGTTCCACCTATCCTCGGGGATGCAGTCGGCAAAAAAAAAGTGAAAACACTCCGAAGAAAATTCCTTGGGCTCCGAGGATTCCCCAGCCATTTCTTCCTTTTGGCCAAGGGACCTCACGAGGTCCCTTGGGCAAAAGGATTCCGCGTTTCACGGAGAGGAGTGGGCACATGGGTAGAGAGACGTTACAACCGAGAATCTGGATCGTGGTGGCACCCTATTGGCTAAAGGCCTCGAACACATTTGATTTTTTTTTTCTTTTCTTTTCTTTTTTCTTGTCTGACATCGTTTGAAGGAAATGTCTTCGGGCGACGTCCCTGAGGAAAGGTGGAACGATGGCGGGAATTCCCTTGAAAACCCCCAAGGAAACTTCCTTCAGCCCCGA